AGTCAAAACTATACATAAAAGCATAAGTATGATCTCAAATCAAAGTTGATCAAAAGTAAGACGCGTGTCTATCATGTTTTTTCTTTGCCATTATTATCTGTCATGAGCTGACTTGCAAAAAAATAAATTTTACGACAATTGAGAGTTAAACTGAAAGATCTAGTGAGTGAATTCTCTCATATAACATTTTACACATTCATAAAATTTTAATAATAAATTCAATCCAGATATCATCTATTAAAAACCGTACAACTGTCCTGCCATCCATTTGAGATAAATCTACCAATCATCGCAGTTGTCCCGCCATCTATTATAAATATTATGTCAATTATAGTGGTTGTCCCGCCATCTTTCACAAGTACCCTGCCAACTATCGCGGTTGGCTCGCCATCTATACGCAAGTACCCTGTCAACTATTGTGACTGCCTCGCCATCTTTCACAAGTACCCTGCCAACTATCGTGGCTGGCTCGCCATCTATACGCAAGTACCCTGTCAACTATTGCGGCTGTCCCGCCATCTATCACGGGTACCTTGCCAACTATCGTGACTGGTCCGCCATCTATTCGTGGGTACCTTATCAACTATCGCGGCTTCCCTGCCCTCTAACGCAGATACCCCACCAGATATATGTATATAATACATAAACATAATGATTTAACATCGGGAAATATTCACAAAGATTAATAACTAGTTGAACATTCTCATCAGACTGTATATGGCCGAGGACTGCCCTCACCAGACAACTCTTGGGAGATGAACACCCTCACTAGACAACTCTTGGGCATGAACACCCTCACCACCGATAAAGGGCCTCATCAATTGAAGCTTTGATCGTTGAAGTCATATACCATACTTGATAATGTTATTTTGACACTTAATACAAAATCTAACATCATAAAGCAAAGTAGCCAATAAATAATAGATAAAAACTCATAATTTATCAAGCCATGAAAACTCACCTTAGAAATGATAACCGATTCTTTCTGTGACTTCTGCAATTCTTCTCAAATTTCCTATTTAAGAAAGCTTTCAGATGAAGGCTTCCAAAAAAAGAAACCCTCACCCTTATGCAAACTTCCTATTTATAGCAAGATGGGATGAGACGGTATACACACCAGAACCCCCCCCCCCCCCCCCCCCCCTTCCACCCACAAAACAAGTTTAGTGACCAAAACCATGAGTAGGAGAAAATTATCTTCGAAATCCTTTAACTTCCATCATACGATATAACTTTCCCTGAACTTTCCTGTTATTATTCGAAACCCGACCAACTACCATTCAAAACTGAATATTCCATTATGCTACATTCATTCAACCTCGTTGATGAAAACAATTATAATAATATATCTCTACTCAATATTAAATTTAAAACAATAATTCCAATTTGGAGATTTAGGGTGTTTGGTTCATGGAATTTGGTGGAATTGGAAGGAATTGGAATGTCCAATTCTTTGACCAAATTCTAAATACCATGTTTGGTTCACATAATAGATGTGAAGGAATCCTTCCAATTCTAACCAATTTTTTAATTCAATGATTTCACAATTCCACCGTATATACCACGGATTTCAAATTCCAATCCGACAAATTCCTTAGCCCTCATCCATTCATCGACGTTGTATCTCGATTTGCTCTGTTCTGCTATGCTCGATCTCCTTTGCTCGATCTCGTTTAAAACTAAGAATGACAACGGGCTAGGTTCGGGCCGGTTATTGATATCCCCGTCCCAAAAACCGATAACTAAAACCGTCCCCATGACCGCCCCGATCCCCGTCAGGGATCTGATCGGGTCCCCGCGGTTTCCCCGATCCCCGTTGAGGAATTCGTTAAGGTAAAAATCCTCCTTTTCCCGTTAACCGTTGGTTGTAACCGAACCCGAAACTGAAACCCGAAACAGATCTAAAAAAATTACAATATGTTAATTTTCATAACTAAAAGTAGATTACAATTTTTTTAAAGATGCAAGTTTAAATGTCTCGAACGTAATCGAACCAATTACAAACAATGTATTATATTACAATATAAAACTAAACAGAACTTCAAATATCATACAACTAAAATCACGATTTCACAATTAGACAAATAAACTAGACTTTTTCGTAAGCCTTATTTGGGTTGTTGAAGTCAAGTGGATAAAAGTTTTTTAAATTTTAATGCTACTATTTTCTTTTAATGATATTATATATATATATAAATTAAAGTATATACACATATCAGGCCGGCCGGGCCGATGATCACCGTCCCTGCCCCCGTCCCCATTAAAATCCCTGAATTTGTCCCCGATTCCCTCTCCGTCCCTGATAAGATGTCCCCGAACCCAGCCCGAAAGTTTCGGTTTCGTTTTTTTTTCCTGTAATTTTCTCGTTGAATTCCGTGAACGAAACAAAAAAATTCCAATTCGGTTAAGAATTTCATTCCAATTCCATCCAACCAAACGCAACCAAAAGACATAGTCAAATTTCATCAAATTTCATTACATTCCTTCAAAGTCAAATTCATTTGATGAATTCCAATTCCATCGATTTCATTCTATGTCCCCTTATGTTCTTTCTCATCTTTTCTTTATTTGAGCATACATATTTGCATAGTTGGTTTAAAAAAAACTCCAAAACCTTGACTTTAACATAGCTATTAGATATACTCCAATGCTTTTACAAAACCAATCAATTTTATCATACATGCATTTCCTTTAATATATCATAATAGATCGTTAATTCCATTTTATATTCGTTTTGTTGTGCACCAAATTCTTTGATGTCTAATGATACTATTTTTGGGCTCCTGGAAGCGGTTTTCGACATCCATTCAGGTTCAAACGTCACGTATCAATTGTTAATCATGAACGTCTTTTTGTTACTCATTAGATACAAACAGATTTCATAAGGTATCTGTTAGAGGATGTTCAAAAGTTTAGAGTTAACTATGGATTTGGTCCCGATGGTTTGGTGGTTTTTACAAAATTGGTCCCTAAACCATTGTTACATATTAGGACTAGTCATATGTTGTTTTGTAACAAGTTGATCCCTTACTCTAACAGCCATCCTATGCCTCCGTTAACCTTGATAGCATTTTCGTCTTCTTTGTAAAAACCAAAAACTGTAGGGACCAAATCCATAATAAAGTCTACAAAATAAAATTTTATTAAACTTTAATATATATATATATATATATATATATATTACATAAGTACACGGACGCACGCACACACACACAGAGAGTGAGGTTCAGGGAAAAACTATATCCATCAACTATTAGATTAATTTATTCAACTGATATGATTAAATGGACATTATATTTCTTAAATTAGAAAAACCTTGCTGCCATTTTTTATTCAAAAAAATTAAGACAAAATATAAACAAAAATCTAGAGAAATGAATAACACCAAAAAAGAAATCATAATTTTTCTCGTTGATTTGACATCCATATTGATATTTTTTTATATAGTTTTTCATTTATTTTGCATTGAGATAAAGAGTTTAGTCCATGGGAAAATGCTAAATAAATAAAAAAGTAAACCACAAAAATGGATGAAAGAATATATTCAATATGGTACAATTTATTTCTTTCATTTTTGATAATATAATATTTCTCTTTTTGTTTTCGAATAAAAAAAATAAGGGAGGTGATTTTTTTCTAAATTTAAAACATATATTGTTGTAGATGTGTATTTAATCATATTCGTTGAATCAAATAATCCAATGGTTGATGAAGATGATTTTCCTCCGAACCGTACTATATGTGTGTGCATGATACGTGCACGTAATATATTTTTTGAAAAGGAATATATTAATTAAAATTAAACTAAAAGTATAATAAAATTAATATATATATTAAAGTATAGTAATTAATTTAATAAACTTTGAAATATAAAAAATTAATATTGTTTAGACTTAATTACGGATTTGGCCCCTATGATTTGGTGGTGTTTATGAATTTGGTCCCTTGAGAAAAGAAAACGAGCGAAAATGCCTTCAAAATTGGATAGTCGTTAGATTGAGGGACCATATTGTTACAAAACAACATACAACAAGTTTTAATATGTGATAAATGATGTTTAGAGACCAATTTTGTAAAACCACCAAACCACGAGGACCAAATCCATAATTAACTCAAAAATTTATCATGAGATTATAGTATTTTTGAACATTGAATCATAAAACTTATAAATAAAAGTCATTGTCGAGTTTATTATGCTTATTTGTTGTCTCTTATGTATAAACAAGATAATAACATCAAAATAATTGTATTTTTAAATATACGTAGTCCAAGTATAATTTTATACTCGGTTGAAGTAATACAATAACCCTCAACATGTATAGGGATTCATAACAGATATGAGATTCATATATGAATACACGTTAAGAGTTTGTGTAGTAGATAACCCGCTAGGAAAGCAATGCATAGGACGTCTTATATATAACTATCATAATATTTTTTTTTGCGACCATTGTATATGTGGTCTACGACTTGAAATCATTGGGTTTGTTATACGTGAACGATGTACTTTGACACTAATAATTATCTCATCGTAAATAAGACGATAGAATGGACGTTGGTTAAATATCGGATCTTTCCCTCTTGTGCGAAAGAAGCGATGTCTAAGCCCCTTGATATGCATGGTCAGAAAATCGATAACACTTAATATGTTTTATAAGTATATTTAAAATCAAAAAACTAGATATTAGATATAACGAGAATAACACATGCAATGTCTTCAATCTAGATATCAAAGACAAAATGACTAAACATGCTATACTTACAAATGGCCACATGTTGATTGTTTGTTGTATCACAAATTCTTTACCATGAAGGCGGCAATGATGTATTGCTTGATACCGCTCATTGTTTGTAAGTATAAATATGAGATTCATAATTATTACCAACATGATGAGAAGCCATCTGGCTAATGAAAAAACATAATTGTTGCACTTGACATTAGATTGCTCTCGATAAGAGTCTTTTGGCAAAAAAGACCAAGGTTGCAGACTAGGTGTAAATATCGAACTCCTATTTTTATGTCTCCATTGCTAATGAAATGACCAAAATGTCATTTAGTTCGTTAAAAAGTGTAATAATTACATATTTCTAACCATGATATATTTTGGTATGGAGGGAGTATTTACAACTAACAATAACTGCAGTTTTACATTACAGAGACTAATATCTATCTTCATTTAACAATTTGAGCATAACACTAGCAAATGCTGGGGATGGGTAAGGCAGATATACATACAGCCACGGTATACAAAAACTCTGAACGACGTGTTTAAGAATTCGAACCTGTATGCACTGTGAATCTTGATTAAGCGATTGCCCAGAACTTCTTTTGGCAAATTAGTAATGGTTCTGATTGCTGTTGTTGATTTTCCAGTACATATGATTTAACCTCCCATAGGAACTTTGGAGCAATCTCTCTTATTCTTGATATAATGGATTCATCATCTCTAATAATAACAAATCCCTGCATAAAACAAGTTTAAATGTGTTTAGATCATATTTACTAGATCCTTTCTGAGTGCCCTATCTGGAAACCTGGTTAAGGATTTTTTTTTCCTTGGTAGCCCAGGTTAACTTAACTTTAAAGTGGAACTAAATGCAAAAATTTGGGCATCAGTCAAATTCTAGTGTGACAATTAGCCAATCAAAGTCCATGCATACATGTATATATAAGTAATACAAGATGATGAGTTAGTTTAGTGAGGGTAAAACTAATGAGGCTCACACAGCAATCAGAAAAAATTATGAAAGAAAGCAAAACACAATCTAATTAGACTTGGAGGTTTACGTGATTCAGTCAAGAATTGATTTACATCCACAGCCATACTAGTTACTGTTGTTGGTTTCGTCTGTAGGTTTTACAATTACAAGAGATGTGTGTGTATATATATATATATGTGTGTGTGTGTGTGTGTGTGGAGAATGAAGAAAATGCAGAACTTCTCATGAGATGAAAATTTTCCATTTGCGTCATAAAAACCCATTTTTAGACACAGGTGTTTGAGCCCTCGGAACTTCTGCTGCAAGTCACATGCAAATGAACGTCAGACAACTTCAGAGTCCACTACTCAATAATCTCCCCACTTGGAGACGATCGCATCAACTCTTAAGGCAGGTTGAAACTAACTTTTCGGTAATGACTAACTTGGCTAACATATCAGCAGAATTCTTGAAACCAAGGATCTTCAGAACACAATCACTAATCGATTCTCTGATAAAGCGATGTCTCCAACTAGCTGAATTTCACCTTACCATGAAATATAGTATTCTTACCAAACGGCCTTTAGCCTAGCGGTATTCGGTTTACCGGTAGTAGAGCCCGGCCTTCCAAGAGGTCAAGAGTTCAAAACTCATCAAAGATCAGGAGGGTGCATTGTTGTATATAAATATTATATACCTCAAAAGAAATATATAAGATTCTTCACAAGATGAATGGCAGCAAAGGACATTCTCAACTTCTTTCTTGTCCAACTCAAGAAAATTGTTCAACCAACCTCAAATATATTGGCATGTTAAGCACGAAGGTTTTTCCCATTTTGGCCACTCCTTGCGCATTCCAACTCAAGATTTCTCATTTGACCTGTAAGTCAGTCTCTGTTAAGTCTCATGACCCTACCATGTATCTTATACTTCACCTTTTTGTCAATGAAATAACTAGAAAATTTAATTGTTCAGTAACCTTTTCCATGCCCACTGTCTTATTTTTCCACTTACTGGTACATGTATGCCAGTTTTATCGCTAGAATCTTGATAAAATTTTGGTACAAGTTTATTCAAAGAAGTCAAGAAGCCTCATGCATGCATCCTTGCCTCCAATTACTCATGTTTACACCCAGGAGAAGAAGCAAAAACCATACCACACCATCTCCCAAGACTTCATTGTTGTGTCGTGATATGAGTGGCTATCATGTTCTAAATACCGAACTCGTATAACTACAAGATGTCTAACCTACCAACTTATTGTTAGTTGACTGATTCAAAATAGATAAGAGTCGTGTTTCCTTATTTTCATTATTAGTTGGTCTTGGAAATTTTCAAGTAGTGGTCCTACATTTTAGTATTTTTCAGTTTTCAGAATTGCTATTTAAGTCTTGTAATCTTTGGTTTCTAATCAAGTGAAGAAAAGTTGCCTTCCTTTTTCACGTACAACAATGGTATCAGAGCTGTTCTCCAGGTTTGATCCACTCCTTTTTCCAGCAAAAGAAAAGAAGGGATTGAGTGTATGGCAAGCAACAACAATAGCTCTTCAACTCAGCCTCTGATTCCAGTCTTCAGAGGGGAAAGTACCATTTATGGAGTTTAAAAATGAAGACTCTGTTCAAGTCCCAGGAGCTTTGGGAAATGGGTATAAAGAGCCAAATCAGGCACTGGCTCAACCCGATCAACAACTACAGGAAACTCGCAAGAGGATGCAAAGGCTCTTTTATACATCCAGATGATGAGATATTTCCCCGTATTGCTGCAGCAACAACATCCACGAAGGCCCGGGAAATTCTGAAGCAGGAGCAAGATTGACGATAAAAAGGTAATCATCGTTACACTCCAATCTGTTTGCTGTGAACTCGAGACATTGGTTACGAAAGAAAAGGAACTTTTTCGAGCAATTCTTTCTAGAGTGTCTGGACTTGTCAGGCACAAGAAAACTTACGGCGAAGATGTTGGTGAGGAAACTATTCTAAGCAGTCTTACGGAGTTTGACTAAAGAATTTAATCATGTTGTTGCAATTGAGGAATCTAAGGATCTATCAACTTACACTTTTGATGAGTTGATGAGTTCTTTAATTGCACATGAAGAAAGATTGAACATGGGCAGTGAAAAAGGCAACAAAAAAGCATTTCAGGTGAAAGGAAATTTCTTAAGGGGAAGGCAGAACACTCCGGTGGATTCTCCAGCGGACATGGGCAAGGCAAAGCCAACTTCCGTGGTCGAGGCCGTGGAAGAGGAAGAGGCAACTTTGGAGCTCAATGTCACCAAAGGAACACCATTCAATGTCGATATTGTAAGAGATCCGGGCACCTTGAAGTTGACTGCTGGATAAGCAAAGGATGAAAATAAGTCTAATTTCATTGAATAGGTGGAGGATGAGGGTAAGTTATTCATGACTAACTCCTCGGTTACTAACATTTTCAATGATGTATGGTATATCAACAGTGGATGCTCAAACCATATGTCTAGTTCAAGGTCTTTGTTTCAGGATCTTGATGAGACAAAAAAAAATGAAGTCCGACTTGGGAACGACAAGAAGGTTGAAGTTGAAGGCGAAGGTACGGTTGCCATGCAAGGTAATACTAAAGTCCTTCATGATGTTCAATTGTGCCTAGTTTAGCCTACAACCTGTCAAGTGTTGGACAGTTGATGAAGTGTGGATACTCTATGGTGTTTGATGGTGATACATGTTCTATACTTCACAAAACAAATTGTCCAGCCTATAGTATTGTCTTGATGACCCAAAACAAAATGTTCCCTCTTGATGTTACAAAAGATTTTAAAGCCTTAGCTGTTAGTTGTGATAATGAGGCTAAATTGTGGCATTTAAGATATGGACATTTGAATGTAAATGGCAAAGATTGCTAAGTAAAAAAGAAATGGTTTTTGGGCTACCAAAAATCGGTGAACTTGGTCTCTGTGAGGAATATGCATTTATGGTAAGCAAAGCAGAAAGTCGTTTCCTGTTGTAAGTTCTTGGAGAGCCTCAGATTGCTTAGACCTTGTGCATGCCGACTTGTGTGGTCCTATGAAAACCGAGTCATTTGGTGGAAGTCGATATTTTTTGCTACTTAACGATGATTTCAGTCGTATGAGTCGGGTTTATTTCTTAAAACTCAAATCAGAAACCTTCGAGAGTTTCAAGATCTTTAAAGCACTTGTTGAGAAGCAAACTGGTAGGAGCATCAAGGCACTCAGAACCGATTTTGGTGGCGAGTTCTTGCCTAATGAATTTATTGATTTTGTGATAAAAGTGGCATTTACAGGCACCCGAAACACTCCAACAAAACGAGGTAGTGGAGCAAAAAAATAAAACCGTGGTGGAAATGGCAAGAAGCATGTTCAAAGCAAAGGGCCTATCTAATCAATTTTGGGGAGAAGCGGTTGCAACAGCGGTGTACATTCTGAATATTTCTCCAACAAGGGCCGTTATGAATCGCATGCCGTATGAAGCTTGGGGGGGTAAGAAGCCAAAGGTAAGCCACTTAAAAGTCTTCGGTTGTATACCATATGCTTTGGTTAATACTCGTTCAAAGCTTGATGAAAAATCTGTAAAATGTATTTTCATCAGCTCTAGTCTCCAATCCAAAGCATATCGTTTATATAATACTTTTACTGGCAAAGTGTTAATAAGCAGGAATGTTGAGTTTAATGAAGCAGCTCGTTGGGTATCTACTAGCCAAAAAGAAGGAAATCAAGTTGTAAACTTTGAAGATATACCATTGGAAGATTGTGTACCAGCAGCCCGAGATGATCAAGGTCTACAAATTCAAGTCCAACACCACCTAGCAGCAACACTTCATCCATAAGAACCAGCAGTGATGATTCATTGTCGGACTCTGACAACAATAGTTCATCAAAAGATCTCCCACCAAGGAATACTTATGATGGCACCCCAAAGAAGTTCAAATCTTTGGCTGAAGTTTACAACTCTTGCCCTTTTGCGTTGTATGTGTCAGACCCAATCAACTATGAAGAGGCTGTTGATAGAAGAGATGCAAGCTATCAAAAACAATTCAACATGGGAGCTGGTTGACGTACCTACAGGCAAGAATGTTGCGGGGCTAAGTGGGTCTCCCGAACGAAGTATAATGCTGATGGAAGCCTTCAAAGGCACAAAGATTGGCTCGTCGCAAAAGGGTACTCACAGCAACAAGGTATAGACTTTGAGGAGACGTTTTCTCCTGTTGTTCGATTTGAGTCGGTGAGAATTATTTTAGCATTGGCTACACAATTTCAACTACCCGTTTTTTCAATTCGACATGAAGTATGGTTTCTTAAACGGTGAGTTGAATGAAGAAGTATATGTGGCTCAACCTCAAGAACTCGTTATTGATGGTGCTGAAAACAAAGTGTGGTTGGTGGATTGAATTACTTGACACACACCAGACTAGATATTTCGTTTTCCGTTGGTGCAGTGTCACGGTTTCTATGCGGTCCTACAAAGCAACACCTTGGTGTAGCAAAGAGAATTCTTCGATCTTTGCTATGTAGCTGGTATCGTGAGTTATGACATCTGATATTCAAGAGTTGAGGATTTCAGATTAGTCTGGCTTCACCAACAACGACTGGGTAGGATGCTTGGATGATCGCAAGAGCACTTCTGGTAATGTTTTCAGCTTTGGTTCTAGAGCTGTAACATGGAGTTCAAAGAAGCAAGACACGATGTCTTGGTCTTCATCAGAAGCCGAATACACAGCAGCAAATGCAACAGCACAACAAGCTTTATGGCTTCAAAAGGTTCTTGTTGACTTCTG